GTCTCTGCAGCTGAAATAAGGCTGAAAAAAACGGCTGAAAAAAAGACTAAGTCCCATCGCCGAATGGGACTTAGTCTCTGCAGCTGAAATAAGTCTGAAAAAAACGGCTGAAAAAAAGACTAAGTCCCATCGCCGAATGGGACTTAGTCTCTGCAGCTGAAATAAGGCTGAAAAAAACGGCTGAAAAAAAGACTAAGTCCCATCGCCGAATGGGACTTAGTCTCTGCAGCTGAAATAATTTCCCATTTACTGAACTAAGTGGGAAATAGCAAGGCAGGCACAAAGGGTTTGCACCAGGTCTGGGGACACAGGGGACACCGTCTTAAAGGGGCCGTGTCCCCAACAAGTCTGGGGACACGGCCTTAAAGGGGCAGTGTCCCAATCTTCCTGATGTCCCAAAAAGGTGTTTAAAGGGCCAGCACCAGTCACATAAAGAGTCCATAAGTCCCAATATGCCCACCGACAGTCTTAAAGGGCCATACACACCAAATAAAAGTGCATACATTTTCACAATCTCCCAGGGGCCATAGTCATGCTGGAGGAGGCTGGCAAAGAGGCTTCTCCACAACCCAGGGAAACAGGGCAATTTGCCATTTAAAGGGCCCGTTACAAATAGCAGTTTGTAACAAGGTGTCAATCCATATCTGCCAAGTGACCCTATGTAGGGGGACCAGTCTCTATTCTGCTCTGTGTCCGTGTGCATCAGGGGCTCTGAGGACAGGTGTCAATCCACATGTCAAGGTGTCAATATGTCATATGTCAGGTGTCAATCCATATTCATTGTGATTTAGGAATGTTAGGTGATTTCTGCCCTTTATGGATTAAAACCAGACTCTGTATCAACTGTGTAATTTTCCATGGGAGTTTTGCCATGGATCCCCCTCCGGCATGCCACAGTCCAGGTGTTAGTCCCCTTGAAACAACTTTTCCATCCCTATTGTGGCCAGAAAGAGTCCCTGTGTGTTTTAAAATTCGCCTCCCCATTGAAGTCAATGGCGTTTCGGGCGGTTCGCCGGTTCGCGAACATTTGCGGAAGTTCGCGTTCGCCGTTCGCGAACCGAAAATTTCGGGTTCGCGACATCACTATAGATGACCTCTTTATTTGGAAAAGGTTCAGAAGATTCCCTTAAATCTTTTTTAAATCATCTTAATGCAAACAAAAATATTATTTTAATTTCAGAATTTAGCCACAGTAGTATTAACTTTTTAGATTTACAGATTTTTATCCATAACAGAACCATTAACACCATTTTTTTTTTTAAAGTATGCACCAACACAATCATAGACCAATCAAGTTGCCACCATAAAACTTGGTTAGCTGGCATACCTAAAAGTCAATTTATAAGTTTACGTAGAAACTGTTCCCATAATGATGATTTTCTAGAACACTCTCAAAAAAAAATTTATAGACAAAAACATTTCCTCATAAAATCTAGAGAGATCTCTTGAAGTAAAAGAAAAGAAATAGATCAGAACTCCCTGACTACAATAGTCAAAAAGTGAATAAAATAAAAAAAAACATTGGCATATCTTAACATTTTAAGTGTTATTTCAATATTTTTAGGAGCGCACATATTTTTCCAATATTTTTCCAATTTTTGAGCTTACATTCAATTCAGGTCGCTTGTAGATATATGTTGTAGCCCATTTAATTGTTTAACATTAATTACACCTTCTTATCAGTTTTCTACTATCTTACAACAAGACAACACTCTAAAAGATATAATTCCCGAAAGATCCAATGTAGTTTTTAGAGGTACCCCAAGTTTTAGATCTATTTTAACTAAAAATTACACCAAATCCTCCACTAATCAATCTTTATCCTTTTTAAATCAATCAAAAGGCTTTTTCAAATGTAATAAATGTATAGTACGCAAAACGACAGACCATAACATTAAATCAAAAACTCTACACTTTACATCTAATATCACTAAAAAAAACTTACCCTATTAAAGAGAATCTGCTGAAACACTAAAAACTTAATTTATCTTCTGGAATGCCCGTGTGGCTTCCAATATGTAGGGATGACCACCAGATGCTTAAAAATCAGATTAGCAGAACACTGCCGAAATATCATCAAAGTATATCCCAATCATTCAGTATTCAAACACTTTTTAATCCATGACAAAACCCCAAAATTTCTAAAATGTATCGGCATCCAAAAAGTCAAGCTTGGCCTGTAGTTGTGGGAGGGACTTGAATCCCCTTTAAAAGGGATGCCAATCCACTCTCACCTTACCGTTGCTGGTCTGGCGAGTCTGAAACGTTTACTTCCGGTTCAGACCGCCATCTTGATTTCCTTACCTGTATTCCTTGTGGTCTCCTTGTCCGGTGCTTCCCTGCCTCTGCCACCCGTCCGTTCTCCGCTCCACATCGGGTTTAACCGTAAGTCTGGCGGAGCCCCGTTCGTTTGAACCAGCGTTTCGGTTCTTACTGTTATACATTTCGTACACTTACAGCATTCGGCTATTTCCCCTAGCCCTGTCTATACGCATGTTTCACATTGCTCAGTTACACGAACGCACTTTCAGTCTTCAAACGGCACTTGGGATGCATCCATTTCGTATGTTTCAGCACTCTATGCATCCCTAGTTCTTTTGGTGATTACAACTAAACTCACGACATAGGCACGAATTTCTCCCAGTACTCAATGTAATTTTGCCCCTACTGGTTACAAATGATATTACAGTCATTTATAAAATTCCACTGAGGGTTTAAAAATATAGATGATTAAGTCTGGATGTTGTAAAGTGATATTCCTGACCTTTTCCCACAGGTTCATACCAAGGAGTTCGTACTTAAGAATTGTGATTTCTGACATCTGAGTAAAAAATGTGTTTACTTTCTAGGTTGGTTGAAATTTGATTTGTGATTCATGCTTTGGGCCAAATGATACATTTAAAATTAGTTAAGCATGTCAATTTACTCTTTTAGGTTCTTGAACTTCGGACGGTAGCTTTTACAAGCACAAGAAAGTAGTCATCATCTTCCGTTTAAATACTACCCTCTGCATAGTGTCTGGTAGGTTCTTTTGATTTCGGGCCCATGATCTGGCCAACTACCACCATACACACAGACGCTTATATATTAATTTTCATGTCCACAGGTCACACCACGATACTATTACAATCGCTGTTTACCTCTACATTGACAGCTCGTCCTGACTCACATATCAGGTACTACGCCAGAACCGAGTACTTTTCTAATTTTAGAGTGGCACTGGTCCTAGGTTATGTAGCCCAATTAGGAATATATTTTCTGGTCTTAATCCATAGGCTAGTGATCCCGCAAGGCCAACACCCTCATCCTCATACTATGAGGTATACGTCCCTCGGGACAAATCATAGCTAGCACGGTCGCACAGAGAGGGCCTCACCTGTCACTCCCATTCTATTTTATGCTTTAATTGCCACCGAGAGGCCAACACCCCGTCACAACATTCGTGGCCTCATACTTTCCCCTCGTGCCCACGCATAGGTAGTGCCTCTCAGGTCACTTGGCAATTAGCAGGGACTCATCTGTCACTATCACAAAGTAAAAGTGTTTCACCGCTTGGTATCTATCTGAGCTAGCCTCATTACAGGGTGATATTCCTGAGGAACTTTCACTACCCAGCACACCCGCTAGGCCTGGTACCCCTGTTCCTGGAACAAATGTTAATTGTCCTTCATCCCTAAGATCATGGACCATCCCACGTCTCG